TCTCTGTAGCTCAGTTGGTTAGAGCGCTGAACCGGGACCACAGGGGCGCAGGTTGGATTCATGCCAGGACCTATAGTTGCATTTTTGCAGCTGTTCTTTCGTCTACATAAAACCAGTCTACTATTAGCTCTATCGAACGAGATACGCCAAAATATCGATATTTAATTTTCTATTTAGTCAGATTGCTTCAATCCTGGGATCAACGACTGTATTTGTTGCTGACTATGTCTCCGATAGCGTAAGTAAATATTTGAGTCAATAGCAGGGCTCGATCTACCCAATAGAAGATGCAGGGAGGGGAGGGGGGGGGTGCGCCCTCACCTAGTGGTGTCTAGCAACCCCCCCCCCCCCAGGCTCAGAGATGTCCAGCACCATGCTAAAAAACTGCTTTACCAATATATTTTCTGCTTTTCGAAAAGCGATTAACGGAACTTCTACTGTTAGCGAGTGTCGATTTCTTGAACGGATTTACAGTAATTGATTTGTGAGCTCACGAGAAAATAATCAGAATGCTTTAGTTCAATATCATGGTTAAATATGTGAACATGTCGAGGTTGTTATACAGCCATATTTTTAAATATACTGTACTTTAACAAGCAAATTTACTGTACTGTCCTACAGCGACTGTCCAGTCACGCATACGTGATAAAAAGCCGATATAAACTTTATAAACAAAAGATAATGTAAAACGTAACAGAACGGCGAACATGCAGATTCGGCCATCTCAAATAATGGTAATGTTGGGATAGTAGCGTTGCAGACTGCAGAGGAGAGTGGGCAGTAAGGCTCCCTCATGCACCACCCCATGGAAAACCTGCACCCCTTCTTGCAGGTGAGGATGGATCCGGATTTTCCATTTTAGCGCTGAGGGAACTTAGCAAATGGAAGTACTTTCAATGGTTTTTATAATGTATGCATATTTACACACGATCTTTTTCTAAATTTCTTGCAGCAAAAGAATTTCGTCAATTTCCAAATATTTTGTGTGATCGTTGCCATAATAAGTTGCATCGCAATGTGTTACGCTGGGCTCAATGTAACAGTAGCCAAGAAATATAAGCCTGAATTTGATGAAAAAGGTATAACATTTTTATACTGGATAGTTCTATCAGTTCTAAACTGTTCTCCCTAGAGGTCCAGTAAGGATCATCTCGTATTAATCCAGTGTTACTACAGGAGGAAACCTATGAACTATAAAACTAACTTTATGTATACTGGATAGCTCTATCAGTTCTAAACTGTTCTTCCTAGAGGTCCAGTAAGGATCATCTCATATTGATCCAGTGTTACTACAGGAGGAAACCTAAACTAAACTAACTTTATTTATACTGGATACATTGTTGTTTATTAGAAAACATCAAGGATGCGGCAACACAAACGTCTTGGTGGGCGCTGACCTTTCAAATTTGCACGCAGAAGAATTTTAGTAAGTAAAAACTATTTACAGTAATATTTTCCGTAGAAATGTTGACGCTGATAGAACCAAGAAAATTAGATTATTCATCACTCATTTCTATTCATAGTTAGCCTTAATATGTTATGTGCATTTCCTTTTTGCAGTTTGCTTTGTGATAATGAACTTCTTACAGGTAAATAATAATATTTCTGTGCAGTATAAATAAAGGTAGTTTAGTTTAGTTTAAGTTTCCTCCTCTAGTAAGACTGGATCAATAAGAGATGATCCTCACTGGATCTCTAGGAAGAACAGTTTAAAACTGATAGAGCTATCCAGTATAAATGAATTTAGTTTAGTTTTGGTTTCCTCCTGTAGTACTGTAACACTGGATCAATAAGAGATGATCCTTACTGGACCTCTAGGACGAATAATTTAGAACTGATAGAGCTATCCAGTATAAATAAAGTTAGTTTAGTTTAGGTTTCCTCCTGTAGTAACACTGGATCAATATGAGATGATCCTTACTGGACCTCTAGGAAGAACAGTTTAGAACTGATAGAGCTATCCAGTATAAATAAAGTTAGTTTAGTTTAGGTTTCCTCCTGTAGTAACACTGGATCAATAAGAGATGATCGTTACTGGACCTCTAGGAAGAACAGTTTAGAAATGATAGAGCTATCCAGTATAAATAAAGTTAGTTTAGTTTAGGTTTCCTCCTGTAGTAACACTGGATCAATAAGAGATGATCCTTACTGGACCTCTAGGAAGAACAGTTTAGAACTGATAGAGCTTCCAGTATAAATAAAGTTAGTTTATTTTTTTACATAGATATTCCATAAGACATACAGCAGCAATTTCTTTTTAATTTTTGCCGAAGAACTGATGGGATCTGAGTTACCTCGCGTGAGTACTTTGTGTGTGTTTCATTTCGGTTTCTTTTATATATTGATAAAAACGTATTGTCTTTTTTTTATGCAGTTTGTTAGAAGCCTGTTAGCAGGATCAACATATATGTTACCACAGGTAGTATCAGTTTAAAATTTCTATATAATTTCTAAAGGCCCATTTCCATTCAAGAAAAATTTCCACCGACAGAAAATTTTCCGAAAATATCATTGTTAAAATCGACTGAAAATTTGTGTAAACTAACCACATTTTACAAAAATTTTTCTGTGGAATTTTTTTCTGAGTGGGAATGGGTTTTAATGGACAATGGGCATGTTAGACTTTTAATCTAAGTAAAGAGAAGGGAATCAAACACAACAGTTTAAAAGAACATAATGAAATTAGTAAAATTGCAAAATTTGGTTTGCGAAATGTTGTAAAATACAGAAAATATAGCCTTGCGAAGTTTGCTTATTTTCAGTATATTTGTATTACGTGCGGAAATTGTTACGATTTTCGGCTCAAAAATGGTAACAATTTCCGCACGTAATACAAACATACTGAAAATATGCAAACTTCGCAAGGCTGTATTTTCTGTAATCCTTTTCCGGCTGATGATTTGTTTTATTTTTGTATTTTCTGTATTTTACGACATTTCGTAACCAAATTTTGCAGTTTTACTTATTTTAATAAGTTCTTTACGGGAATTTACTTTTGTTTGCCTAAATCAAAAATTAGTCTAATATGCAAGTTGTCTATTGAATAGTAAATGTCTTTCCTCAAAACGTCCAAGCATTTGGCTGATCATGCTTATTTGTTCATAGATTCTAGGAATTCTGGCGAATCCACTGATTGTAAAATACGGTTCATACTATATTATTCTTACTTCATTTTATATCAAGGTTAGTAAATGCTCGATCGCTCTATTTTAATTCAGTTTTATCTAAACTACACCACGTAAAAGTCTCCCAACTTTTCAACGAGATGTGTTCGCAACGAGCTTGTAACAAGCTTGTCGTCAAGTTGTGATAATGCTGTTATTTTATCAAGTTGCTACAAGGTTGTCGCTCACAACTTGTTGAATTATAGGACGATAACAAGTTATTGGAACGACTTGTAACAAGTCTGTTGAGCTCGGCAACCTTGTAGCAAGTTGTCAACAACTTGCTAACAAGCTGGGAACAAGCAGTGCGAACACTTCCTGTTGACAAGTTGTTGGAACAGCATTGCTACATCATGACTAGATGGCATGGAGAACAGTGAGATATTCAAAACAATGAAAAGACAATGGAACATTACGATCACTGGATCATGACTGGATGACATGGAGAACAGTGATATTTTCAAAACAATGAAAAGACAATGGAACATTCTGATCACTGGATCATGACTGGATGGCATGGAGAACAGTGACATTTTCAAAACAATGAAAAGACAATGGAACAATCTGATCACTGGATCATGACTGGATGGCATGGAGAATAGTGGGATTTTAAACTTAAAATGTATTTAATTTAAACTTGTATTGTATTTCTTGCATTTCAGCTTGCAATGGCAGTTTTATTGTACTTGAGTGGAGCAAATCAAATACTAATTTTGGCTGCTTTCTTCGTACTTGACAAGTGAGCTTGTTTATATAAAATCTCTCGGCTTGAATTCCTGCAATGCGCTCTTTTGTGATTATAATTTTGCCTTAGTCACATATGAGAAGAATGATTCCAGTTTGACTCTACCAAACACCACAGATCTTTGTAGTAAAACTGGACCATTAAGAGATGAACCTTCTCGAGAGAAAAGTTTAGCACTGTAGATAGAGCTATCCAGTGTAAAATTTAGTTAGTTTAGTATAGGTTTCCTCCCGTAGTATCAATGAGAGATGATCCTTACTGGAATTCTAGGGAGAACAGTT